CGATCCCGTTGCCGGTCCCGGTCCGGTGCGGGCGCGACACTGAGGGTTGCGGTCCGTTGCCGGACACGAAAAAAGACAAAAAGGAAAAAAAAAAAATGGTGTGTATGTGCCCTTCCCAGCCCTCCGACAACACATACGTAATCTGTCTTGAGAGCACAGCTGACAACTTCAGGACCCGTGGTAACACTCCTGCTAGTCAACACCCTGTGAGCAGAGTCCTTCCCGGCCCAATCTAACACACTCGTGACACTGCCCATGGCCGACAGGGCCAAGAGCAAAAGGAACCCAGAAAAACTACAGCCCCGCCTAGGGAACTCCTGTGCTCTGAAGCTCGGTCATCATATTCCATCGGGAAAATTAAAAGGTTCCCATTTGGAGACTAAAAACACTACAGAAAATATGTTGTCTTTTCATAAAGCTTTTGCTTAAAATGTCCCACATACCAAAGCGACATGCACGGTGAATTCCACTCCTATGCCGACCGAAGCGATCAAGATGACCACAGGCACAGCACTCAGCTTGATTCCAATGAGGCCCATCATGCCAAAGAGCTCGACCGTCATCAGAGCCAGGACCATCACCTTCAAGAAGGCACACAGCGATGAGTGACTGCATGCACCGCACGCCGGGTGCTGCACACAAGGGAGGGTTTTAGAGTACTAATGTGGCCTCATTGCAGATCAAGGGCAGAGAAACCCCTATGACCCAAATACAGTGGGAACACTGACTTGCTTTAACTTTGGACAAGTGCCTTGACTTCCTGATTCAACTTCCTGCTGGGAAGGGATACTACGGGATGGCCAATTTTTCACCCTGGAGAATGAATACACTCAGACAAAATTTAGTTTTCTAACTAACGCAAATAGCTTTTCCAATGTACCTGCTCTAGAAAGCAAAAAATTTTCAAAACTACTCCACCATAGCAACCTGCAGAGAACTACACAATCATGCATCCATTACTTAGCTACAAATTTCATACAGTTTAAAAGGTCCTTCCTCCTGTTGCGATCTTAACCATCATACAGCACCTGAAATTCACAATTGAGTTGAAACGTTGCAGTTTTTCGTTGCCTAATCCTCCATCCTAAAGAAAGCTGATAGGACTGGGTGAATAAAAGTTCTTGGACAAAAAAGCAGCTCCACTTTTGTTGGAGATGATTTGGGAGCAAGTCAAGGGGGGCTGCCATCAGCTGACTCGGGTCAGGTTTTAGGGCCCCTGCACTTTGAAGAGAAGTGGAGCAACTGGGGTAGACGAAGCAAACAGACAAATCCAACGAGAAGCCTCTGCTTGCCTTGCAAAAATTTGTGGGGAAATGGAAAGAAAGTCTGTGAGATACTCTGGAGTTTCTTGAGCCAAACAAATAAAACAATGAACTGTATGCAGATGGAAGAGAAGCAGCGAGTCATCTTTCTTCCCCGGAGAAGGGCAGTGACCGGGGTGTGGCCAGGGAAGAGTAAGGGGAGATGGACGGCGCCCGTCACCTGGTGCCGTGGAAACGCCCAGACCAAACATTTACCTTCTAACATGCCTGCTGCACAGGCTTCTGGTGCAGAAACAAAGCCTGGTCTCTGGTTTTAGAATTTTGGCGTCTTAAAGACTACACCACAGTTCATGGAATTTAAACACTGCCATGATTTTATTAGACGCCACATGAAACTTACTTCAAGTCTGAGAGTATTGTGGAGAAAGGGTGCCAGAGAACAGGTTAGTAACATGAGTTTATCCTTCCCCCCTAGGGGTTAAAACACATAAAGCCACCTCTAAAACTGTTTCTTCCACATACCACTGTCCTAACTTCTCTAACTTTCTTTCCCTCCACGTTAAATACAGAAAACCTTCTATGTATTGTCAGGTCTGGGATGAAGTCACGACATGGCACTTTTGAATTAAAACACATTATTTATGCTTTGAGTGTTTTTATTTAATAAATGCTCAGAGCTGTTATGGAAAGTGTGCTTAAAAAGTCCCCTATCTTTACCCCAAATTTTAAAGCTGCGGGAGAGGGGACACAGATTAAGGCCATTAGAGGCTCTACCTTAACCATGAACCTCACGGCCTCGAGGAGAGTAAATACGTGACAGATGATGCAATCCCTCCCCTCCTCCAGAGGCCCAGACATAAACAAAACTTCCCGGCTGCAGAAAGAGCTATGCTGAAAGGAATGTGACGTCCACAAAGACCCTCACTAAACTCACAATGATCCCGGCCGTCCAGGGGTTCAGGAGGAAGACGGCGCACACAAGGAAGGTGCAGGCCAACACCACGCTGACGGACAGCAGCAGCCAGTGGCGCAGCCCGATGTACTGCTCCCAGAAGAGGAAGGGGTAGCCGTTGGGGTAGCTGGCCAGCCCCAGGCCTGTGTAGTTGTTGCAGATGGCTCTGACCTTCTCGATTGCTTCCACAAAGTCTGCAGTGTCTCGCAGGCCATTGAGGTAGAACGGGAACTGGGCATACTCGATGGGCTCGGCTGCAGGGACTGCACAGAGAAGGCAACGGGTTAGGAGGGGGCTGCGGAGAGGGCTCCTTGCAGGGACTGCAGGGGGGATGACAGACAGGGAAAGCAACTCGTGAGAACGCTCGCTGACCGCACTTCGTTGGACACAAAGGTGAAATAACAGTGACCAGTCTCTGTGTCTTTACAATTGTCATATTTGACTTAAAATCTTTTAAACAATAATCAACCTTTGATTTTTTTGGAGGAGGGATGTCAGGGGTAGGAGCCTGCGATCTGTGTATTTTTAAACTTTTGATTTTAATCTTCTAGAAGCAGCCACTCTTTGCGAGGGGTCTAAACAATTTAAGTCTTACGTTTTGGGAACATCTTTTTGTGCCACTGACAGATGTTAAAACACTAAGTTCAAACTGTTTTACTCATTTATGAGTGCAAAATAATTCCAGTCATGCTTTACTGAGAAAAACGCTTGACTTTCTTATCCTTTTAGTGATCTAACAAACTTAAACCTTCCATGCTTCTTTTCTAATGCAATGCTAAGTCTTCAGCAACAGGGGAAGAAATCCTTACACAACAAGCATTTAGTTTCTGCCGTTGTGTGTTCCAGACCCTTTGGGGTCATTCAGTTGACTTGCTAAACATGATTTGCCCTATTATAATCTCAACTATAAATTTTCATTAAGACAAGCCTTGGCTGCGTGCCACAGCTCTGGGGTCTACACACAGGGAAGCATGACTCGCTCGCTCTCAGCCATGGTTGCAGAGGGACCTGTCTTCTTTCTCACGTCCTGCCTTGGCCCAATATCCAAAGCATAAGCTACTAATGTCACTAACATAAATGCAAATTAAATCCGCACAGAACCACCTTTCAAACTCTGGGCTGGGAGGTTAAAGGAAGAGGACACTGCTGTATACAGACTTTTCTGCTCCGGTTTAAACAGCTTTGACAGAGCACAGGTGCTTGGTGGCTTATAGGAATGACCCAACGTGCCAAAAATCCCTTCAACTCCAGAGTTGACAAAGTTAAGATAAACATATAATTCCCAGTGATAAAACTTTGCAATAGTAAAATAACACTCAACCTGGAGGCGTCCCGACTTTCACACGGAACAGCTGGCATTCGAGAGAAACGCCTGATGAACGTCTCAGAGTTTAAACTACAAACAGAGATGAGAGACGTATTTCTCAGCGTGCGAGAGCGTGGGCTTGTGTTCTGTCACACATCCTCATGTGTCTTCCAGAGTTTCAAATGCAAAGGAATACAAAGTCGTGTTTACACTTGTGAACCCGGGGTGGCGTCGATGACGAGGCACCTCTCTAAGCCCCAGACCTTCTGACGGACAGGGTGCTACTTACTTTTCAGCCGCGTCTCCGGCATGTAGTCTGCTTTGTCGTGGACCCACTCGGGGCGGTGGGGCCGGATGTTGGCCTGGGAGGCAGCATAGGCGACGGGGTCATTGCTGACCCAGGCCGTCAGGTAGATGTAGAACGCGCTGGGATTGATGATGCCCTCTGCATCCACCAGACGCTGCTCAGTCAGCTACGGGGTGGGAAGAAAGGAGGCCTTTGAGATGGGGCTGGGCACACGCACTCCTGTCTAGAGACCACAGAAGCAGGACTCTGCCCTGGCATTTCCAGCACAGAACAGAATGCTCACTGTTGGAGAGTGTCAGAAATCCCATCAGAACACCTTTGGTTTCTTTCAGAATGCACTTATTGGAGGATGTAATCATTGGTGTGTTTATAACAAACACACAGTTCTGCAGATGGCCCAGGAACTGGCCGAACCAATTACATCTGAATGCTAAAAGACTGTGCAGCCAAGGGAGCGAACCAACAATCCGGAGAAACATATTTATGGGAAGGGAAGGGGGGAAACCTGGCAAGAATCCCCATACACGTCTGTGTGCAGTTAACCTCTGTTGTTAACACTGAAGGAAACGCCACCCAGTAAATGCAGGAGAGCTATAAAAATAAAACAACATCTGTACAAATTTTGCTAACACTAGCCTCCTATGACCTGTGTATTCAAAAAATGCCCACTGCCGGGAAGTGGAAGAGACTGATGCACGGCCACGGCCGTCCGGGTAAGCTTTCTTCTGAGAGGTGGTCACACCTAGTTCGCCAGATCTGCAGGTCTGGTGGGCTTTGTTTAGGTGAAAAACACTGTGAGATTAAGTGTGTCTAAGTATATCTTATATACATAGAAAAAATTTTTTTCCTGTTTATTTTAGATTCAGGCCTTGTTCCAACGCTTTTGGTCTTTTCTAACAAAATGAAAAACACCAGTGACAGCAGTTAATAGAGAAGAGCAAAGGGAAAAGAGCGTGGAGGAGAGCACGAGAGCTGGGCTTCAGGGTCTGGATTCAATTAGTCCACAGGATGCGTAACAACTGTGTGTCTTCAAACTGTCCCTGGGATTACAGAGCACAGCTCAGGCCTCCGGCACGCAGCCTGCTCTTCTCCCCTCCCAGGCAGAGGAAATGGTATCCAGGGGCCTGGCCCAATCACATTCGACCCACGGTCCCCGGTCCCTAAATCCCACCCAGCGCCCTGGGCATCTCCCTTGTCTCTCAGGCAGGCTCCTCTGCCCACGCCCCTGTCAAACCTGACAGTCTGCGGCGTGCTGCTGGAAAGCCCCACGCTTCACACTCCATGATAACTCTGAACAATGCACTTAGTAAATCTGTCACCTTTAATGCCAGCAGAAAAGGGGAGACAATAAGCAGAGCTGCTGAGAAGATCATTAGCAGGACAGTTTGCTGCCTGAAGGCAGAGCATGCAAACCACACTGAGCAGAGGGCAGAGAAGCCGCGTGGGACCCACTGAAATCTGGAGAATCAGAGTCCAACCGGCTCCCGACCATGGCTGAGGAATCCTAAGGGATATGCTGGAATCCAAGCATCAGGAAGAAGACGCAAATTCAGATGGAAAAGATGATTGCCAAATAGAAACAGCTCTTATTACATGGGGAGGGCGGAGGGTGCTGAGAGCACTGGATCCCAAGGACACGCTTTTCCATCCGCTTCACTCGCAGAGTAGTATTGTGTGTACTCACTGTCTGCCCCTTAGGCCAGGGCGACCCAGAGGAATCCAATGTACCAAGTCCCCCCATCCTTCCAGTAACCCCTCCAACCTCCTAACCCATCCACCCACCCCAGATTCTGCTCATTCCAATGGCTGCTACCCCACAAATCGACTGTTCCAAGTTTGAGTACAATCAAGACCAACATGGTAACAAGTTCTAGAATTTGAAAGAATAACATGACACAGCATTTCTGACACCTGAGAGCCATCACTGTCTCCACTGTACTCTGACAATTGCTCTGGAGGAGGTGACATTCCTGTCCCCATTGCCGATGAAGAAAGGGAGACTTGCTAGTTTGCCTGGGGTCACCCAGTTAGTGGTGGGGTAAGGTGAATCAGAGCCACCTGGATATTCTCCCTAGCAGCTCCCATGGCCTCAGCTCTCCAGAGAGCACAGGGTGGGGTCCTACGCTGTCAACCAGCCTTTAGTGCGCAGCTGCCCCGAAGCTCTGCCCTGCCACGTCCTCGAACCCCCGGTGTAAGCAGTGAGTACCTGACTGATGTCGATGGGCTTATCGCGGCTGCCGGTCTGCACCAGGAGCTTGTAGGCAAGGACCCCATCGTCTGATCCGTTCTTGTAATTGTTTGGCATGATTCTCCCAGTTTCCCAGTCACTGTCAAATGCGTCCTGAAGCCCTAGAGAAGGCAAACGTGTGTCACTCATTACGGCTCTTGACCAGAATGACCCTGGTCCCCATGGGGAGGGCTCAGGACAGGTGACTGCTGGATGTCAGCCAGAATGCTCTCCATACTCCACCTTCCCTGCTCCTAGTAGGTGTTTCATGAATGAACAGCAGGTTGGTCATGATCACTGCGCAAAAGGGGGAAGAGAAAATATTGATTTCTAGGAAACAAATACGTACACTTAACCTTAAAATAAATCACTCTCCTTTCTTTCTTTCCCCATGACCATTCCAAAAGAAAGCAAGAGAGCGAGGGAAAGCCACACAGCAGTTCGTGACCATCCCATGCCACAAGGAGCAGAGTGCTAACGCACGGGCTCGTCCAGACAGCCCGAGATGCCTCCAGGAGGGGAAACCACGCTCAGACTCCCCGCCTGGCGCAGCCACCCCACTGCCTCCGCAGCTCAGGGCGAGTGAACCCGATTCTGCCGATTCGTTCCATCTGCTCGACTTGTGGAGCTGATACAAACCGTGGGACCCGCTGCCAGGTTGTGTAAAGATCACAGCCAGCGTTCTCCGCTGTCAGCGGCGTGCTCCTCTGCCACCTTCCCCGGGAGAGGGGCGGGCAGCACAGGGAGGGCAGGCCCGGCGTGTGTGCAGGGAGGCACCTCACAGGGCACATTTGGATCGGATTGAGAACAGGAAGCCACAGGCCGGTACAAGGAGGCTCTGTGAGAACAGATGACAAACCACAAGCCCGGGGCGGGGAAGGAAAGACCTCTCTGGGCCTGGGGGATGGGCGCCCACCGGCCCACCACACACAGCTGCGCCTGGGCCCTGTAATCAAAACCATCATTACAGACCTGACGGCCTGGCTACAGCTGCAGAGATAAGCGTGCTGGGAGAGAAAACAGGGCCCTGGTGACCCGGCCTGCACCCCCGCCGCCCCCCACCCTGCCCGCCACCTCCCAAGTAGAGCTCCCCAGCCCCGCAGCTCAGGAGAGCACAGCTTTTGAACAAGCTGTATGTGTGTGGGTTCGACACGGCTAGGAAGAAGGGAGAAAGAAGGGTTGATTTCATTTCAGGACATGCCCTGGATGACTTCAAAGACAAAAAAACCCGGTTAAGTTAGTTCTCAGAATGGCTAAGCTCCTGGGGGTTGAAGTGGGGGATGGAGCACAGGCCCCTTTTTCTCTTTTTAAAACTAAGCCCTCCTCCTGACAATGCTGTGGGCTTTGTTTTTATAGGAACAATTTGAGGATGAGGATGGTGGGCTCTGCAGCGAAAGGAGGCCCCATGACGGGCGGGCGTGCAGGAGAGACCACCGGGGAGGCCACGCTCCCAGCTCCCAGGCAGACTGTTTTTCATAGCGAGGCATGCTCGCAAGCTGCACCGAACAGATGTTATTTTATTACCTACAGCCTTTTTTTCTGTTTTTGAAAAAAATAAACAGGCGAGGAAAAACGACCACTCCCCTCTGCTCCCCAAAAGGGAGGCCTGGTCTGTTTTCCTCAGCACAGCAGAATTTTCATCACTTCCTGACTGTGTGGCACCTTACCCCTCCCCCTCTTGACCTGTTAATGCTGCAGCTCACACTTAGTGAGCACAGGGCTACTCAAGGCAGCACACACCCATCACCCTGTTTAACCTCCACCACCACCTCAGAGATAGCCCGTCAGTATCCCATTCCCACTTTAGAGGAGGGAAACTGAGGCTGCCCAGCAGGTAAGTGAACCCAGACAGCCAGATCCCAGAGTGGGCTGGAACCGCTCACTGCTCTAAACCACCCTGAACACCCCGTGATGCCCACGACGTATTCGCGGGGAGCATGGATAAGATTAGCAGAGTTAAGTCCAGTACCAACAACATCTGGTGGCAAATAGGGGTCCCAAAAATCTGAGTGCAGTTTTAAGATATTTATACACAAAGGCTCCTGGGACATCCTAGAGTGAAACAAAATTAGAAAGATCAGATTTGGGGAGGTCAGTCCTGCTGGCAAATCAGTTCAATTCACCCATACTGCTGGACCCTCACACGCCCTCGCTCTCCTGGGAGCTCAAAGACGAACAACAAACAGTCATCGACGCAACGGAGGTCAAGTCCCTTCATCATTAGAACAGTATTTACTAACCAATCGCCGAAAAGCTCAGTGAGGGGCTGGCCTAAATGCACGGACAATCCGTGACCCTGGACACAAAGCAAGGGACAAAGACTTGCGCCCGCTGCCCCTGGCCAGCAATTTATATCCCAACACGTGCCCTGTAGAAAACAATTGTGACGTTTTGCTTATTTTACAGCAAAACCTTAAAATTTAAGCCAGAGTTTCTCTCAGTATAAATATTTTATACTAGAAATTATTTTCTAGTGTAAAGTTCTGGGCTAAAGGAATTTTCCCAATTGCCAAATTTTCTTCAGATATTGAACCCTAAAAGGAAAACATTAATTAAATTTTATTTGCGAAATCCAGTGTGAAATTTAAAAACACTGTTTATATATGATGCACAGCATGGTTTTTATCTCTAATTTCACCTCATTTGCATGTCTGCTTCAAGATGACCTGTGGGATAATTTCCATATTAACCATTATTATGTTTATGAGTAAAACAAAAGCAAAACCAAACTATTGGAATGTTGATAAGACCAATGGGATGACATGGTTTTGAAGGCAATTCCATTAAAAACCAATGAGGCTCCCATCACTTAAAAACCACACAAAAATGTTGGAAAGGAAAGATGATTCAAGGAAAATTGCTTCCTTTGAGGAAATGTTCAAAGACCAAATCAACCGCTCAATCAGCCTGAGAAGCGTCTAAGCAGCAGAGGCCCCTGTATCTGGTCGCTCGGTGTAGGCAGAGCTCCAGGGCCACCTCAGACACCGACTTGTCACATGAACGTATCTAACTATGTCTTGGTGGGTGCCATTCACTCAGCGATCAGAACATGATTCAAATGCACCTTTTAAAAAAGGTTCTCAAGTCCAACTGCTTTAAGCCTTTAAAGAGATCAAAGTATAGAGATAATCTACAAGACTCTAGAAAAAGGTTAACCCTCTGCAGTGCCTAGAGATAATACCCCTTTGCTCACGTCCCAATCCCTGCCTAACATGCCATATTGAGTGTCCAAAGGGATGGCTGAAGACACTGAAACACACCCTACAAGAACCCTCCTCTGCTCCGCTGCTGGCAGTGCACAGCACGTGTCTTTGTGATTTGTGGCAAGTTATCTGCATGTCTTTGGTAAATGGGGGAAAAAAAGAAAAGCGGGGAATCTCTCAACAGTCTGATTCTCTTTTAAGTCATTAGCCGAAAACTACTGTTTTCAAAACTAAATGTACAAAAATAAGACTTGGAACAAATTCGAATTAATCTCACAGTTAAAAAATAATCACGACACGTAGTTCCCTTTACCTTCCTCTGAAATAAAAGTCAAATATGACGCACATGTATGAATAAAATTCAAGTAACCTAAGTCAAGGCCAGAAACTGTATTGAGCCATTTTCAATCAGGCTGTTTAATTTCAAGTTGTTTACCATTTCATGCAAACTCACAGGGAAATTGGCTGCTTAATCTTTACATAGAAGTGTATTGACTTAAGACCAAAAAAGGCATTTAAATCTGTGTTTAAACAAGCCTAATTAAGTGGGAAATTAAGAGAATCATTTGGATAACCCAAGCCAAAAAATGTTGGGAGCCATAATTATTTGGGTATTCCAGTAAAAGCATTTTTGCTTGAATTGTGTGGATAATTATCCTGATTCTCCTACTTCACTTTGCATGTGTCAACACAGAATAAACGAGCAGATGTTCTTGGAATCATGGAACACATTTACATGCAGTTAGCAGTTAGGAGCAAATTTAGACTATTTTTTTCCTCCAGTTGACTAATACTTCCTAGAAATGTTTCTAGGAGCAAGGTAAGAAGCTAAGTAGGGTTTTAAAGCAGAATTTGATTATTTATGAATGTGAATTGTGATTAGCATTTATAAATTTACTTCATATACCAAACGAGAAGATGGTCAAAATGAGCCTGGATGTAAAGTACGGGTCTGGGTGGCGATGAGTGTTAGTGTGGCCTCCTAGACTGTAACAAATGCACCACCCTGCTGGGTGTTTCCAGTGGGGGAGGCTGTGCGTGTAGGGGGAGGCGGAGGGGGTGAGAGATCTCTGTACCTTCCACTCAGTTTGCTGTGAACCTAAAACTGCTCTAACAATAAAGTCTACTAAAAATCCATACACGATTTTTTTAAAACAAAGATCAAAATATGGAATTTTGAATTATATCCACTGCTGACCCAAAACCTACTGGTGCGGTAAGCTATAGTTTGGCTGTGAGTCAGCCTAGAAATCCCATCGACACTCTGAGCCACTTGGTTACCAAAGTAGCCACCATCCAAAAGGAAAGAATAGCAGAGCATCCAGCTCCGTATTTTGTGACAAACCTTCCCATTTTCTCATAGGCACTCATCAATTCTTAACTTCCTGAGTCCCCTGCTTGAATTGTTTGCACCATTTTATAGGCGAAAGCCAGATTTGGGGGGCTGCCTCAGTGAAACATGTCAGGGACACACGATGATCTAACACTCCAGTATAGTGAGCACACAAAAGACCAAATGGCGACTGTCTATGCAGGACAGCAGCCCTGGGCGGCGTCTCACCTTGGAGCCAGTCTCTGAAGTAGTGGAGCCACATCTTGGGAAGCTGCTGGTTTTCTTCCAACATGACATACTTCACGTTACCGAAGCTCCTGTGCAGGTCGTAGAGTAAGTGCTGGACGTTAGGGTAGTCTGCTTTCTGGGTGACTATGTACATGTTGTAGAAAGAAAAGTACTTGAACTGTGCAGCGATAAAGTCATATTCTCTGGTTTCCCGAGGCACAATGTCTGTGAGGTCCAGCCCGTCTCGCACCCGGGTGGTCCCATAAAGGCTGACCCCCAGCAAGCCCAGGAAAAGGAAGATCACCACGACCTGCAACAGAGCAAGAGGTACAAGATCGGATCCGAAGGCATCTCATCAACTCTTCCTTGACAACCTTGCTTTTACCACCACACTGGCCCTGATTTAGCATTAGGGGTCGTTCTCCCAGGGGAAACGGATGAAATCATAGTGATAACATTGTTAAACAACCTCACAAAGAATAAAAATGTTTAAAATGTAAAGTTGATCTGAATCCACAGAAACACTTGCTAGAGACTCGCTCCTGTAGAAGATGAGCTCATTAAAATGGCCCCAAGCTCTAAACGGACTAACTCTTTCAGGGGCCTGAAACATATCACACTTTAGTGAATTATTTTTTTAATGGAAAAAGGAAAAAGAAAAGTAGAAGCAACCTGATGAATTCCAAAGGGGCCTGCTGTGTTATTATGGTCTTACGTCATGGCGGGTTACCTTGGCTTTTGGTTTCAAGAGGAAAGGAGCGTAGTGCTTCTCGGCAAAAGATGAGAGGGTCCACTTCGTGCAGGGGGGCTCCAGGCAGTGGAGGCTGGAGTCGGAAAACTGGGAGAGCAGGTCCCTCGTGGAGCTGGTGCTCTCGGGGCTCTGGCAGCTGAGGCTGTCCTGGGTCACGGTCACAGGCTGCACGGAGATCTCGGAGCACGGCTGGGCAGTGGTGTAGTACACGTGTGTGTGCGGGTCGTACTCCATGCGGAGCTGGACGGTGGACTGCATGGTGATCTGTGTCTCGTGGGCGAAGCTGTGGCTGCTGTAGGGGGGTGGGGGGCTGCAGCGGGTGTTGTCGTGCGTCTCCGTGTAGGCCTGAGGTTCAACCTGAATCACTCTGCTAACACAGGGGCTGGGAGGAGGGGAAACACCGCGCTGTTATGCTGAGGCAGGGAGACAGAGCTGTCATGTCTGCTGACAACTGATACTACCATTTTACACAGCTCTGATTTAGGAGACAAACTTCTTATCATTGAACTCCACAAACCTCACCTGATTGATCTGGATATAGACCAGATAAGTCCAGGGAGGCCAAATGGATGGCGGAGCCTAAATTTGGCTTACAAAAGCAAGTTCCCTGATGATGACCCTGTCAAAGCACAATTTCTTAAAAAAACCAAAAACACCCGAAGGACATTTTTTTCTAGATGAGTGGTTTATGGGTAGTTTTTGACCTTGTTCTAATTCAGAGAGATACAAAACACCCCCAATCAATCAACAATATTGGTTTATGAAAGAAAAAATGATCACGTGTATCAGTCCCTCAAGGGATGTGAGAATGTTCAGTTGGGGAAGAGAGAAGCCCAGGCACTCAGATGTGCCCCAGGGAAGCACCCCCTGTCCAGCACCCCCCACCCCCACCATGCCGGAACAAACCCTGTTAACTACATTCCTTTCCACAAACCGAAAGGGCTCTCTGAACAGTACGACTCTGTCCCCAACTCATAAAGGCCACAGCAGCCCAAATATGTACCTTGTAAAACAGCAGAAAATATCCAGTCTTCTGTCCTCACGTCGATATAAATCCATGCTGAGAATCGCAGGAAAAATGAGCAGAACCATGGCAAAGTTGAACACCACTACTATCGCCGCCTGGAGCAGAGCAGAATGTTGAGAGGTCACCCAGTCAGAGGGATGCTTGAAAACAAAGATGCTTCTAAACAGCACTTTTCTTTCACTTTCTCCTGGAAGTGTGTAAAGCTGAGACAGAAGCTGGAGTCCTCCGTCACTTTGCTACCCTTTCTTCAATGAGAGGCTACTTGACTAGGACAGGCCCCATCATTCCGCCCTGCCCCATTTCTAGTAAGTCCCTGAACCCACTCAGTGCAAACACAAGATCCAAACTACTAACGTCTCGCTGTTAACCTTTCTGAGCCAAACCTACAAAGGCGGGAGAGAGAATATACTTGAGATGTTTTAATGTAAAACAAAAAGAAACGTTTTTCTTCTAGAACATTTCTGAGTGTTCATGCGGCCCTGATTTTACACTTAAAAATTTGTGCATAAAGTGGATTAAGTATATCAAAATGTCACCTTTAAAGCATGATATAAAATTTCACACATGTCCCCTGAGGTTTTTAATAGGCACATTCCAAATAGCCTCTGGAGTAGGCTGCAGGGTGTGTGAGCCAGTAACACAGAAGGTCAAGGAGAGTTAAGCAGAAAGAAACTCCTGTGTGTGATGACAGCATGCAGAATAAGGAAGGGGCAGGTTCAAAAGTCGCTCCATAACCTGGAACAGACACAGGCGAGATTCTGCAGTGCTTTGGCAAATCTCCTGCTGACCTAGTAAAAATTACAAAATTGGGCTGTTAACAGGGGAAAGTCAACAGAGGATGGTGGAAAGGGCTGTCCTGTTGAGAAAACACCGAAAGCAGCAGCATAACAGAAAAATGTGACTGGAATGCTAAGTGACCAAGAAATAACCAGACATTTTTTTGAAAACTAAAACTCTTATGAGGTTTTTCAAAGAACTGCTACGTTCCAAACCTTCTCAAACTGGGGCAAAAGTCTCAGGGTTAGAAAGAAAACCCGGCAGTAACTGGTACCTCATGAAATCAAGGGAGAAGCTCACAAAGGGCTTTTGAGAATCACTGCATCCGTATTACGTTCAAGGTGCAGAAGCAGGCGGGAGTGCTGGGGATGCCTTTCAGTAATGAATTCTGTCTACACAACCACAAAACACCCAAGAGTTTTCATTTAAATAGTGCTTTACCCCTGTCTTCTTAGTCTTATCTTGAAAAGTGCTCAACTCAAAAACACAAAGCATGTTGCTAACTGATCACTAATGGAAGTGGGGTGCTGGGACGCAGAAAAAGGACCGATCTCAGGAACAGAAACTCTAAGAAGAAAAGTCGCGCACTGTGCTGGGTGCTGGAGGTGCGAGGATGAGATGACGTCCTGCTGCCAAGGACCGACACAGCCGGCCCCACAAGAGCCGGGCTGCAGAGCCGCTTGGAGAGGGACAGCACGTGGGTGTGGGCTGGGGAAGGTCGGTCACAGAAGGCTCCCAGCAGGGCTAGCAGACCAGACAGGGCCAGGCGGGGCAGGAAAGGACCGATGTGGAGGAAGCGGGACAGGCTGCATCCTAAGAGGGATGTATCTGGCTCATGTCACTCTGTGTTGCTGGGATTCGACATTCGGTGGGGTGGGGTGGGGGGAGAGAAAGGGGACTTGTGGGAGATCAGGTGGTTCACACGTGACTTGCTCAATTCCCTCAGCAGTCAAGAGGCAGACATTCTCACTGCTACCGACATGGTGGTGGGGTGGGGTGGGGGGAGAGAAAGGGGACTTGTGGGAGATCAGGTGGTTCAAACGTGACTTGCTCAATTCCCTCAGCAGTCAAGAGGCAGACATTCTCACTGCTACCGACATGGGGACCTGAGAGGACCCCAACGAGGGGCAGGGGAACAACGCCTGCCTGGGCTTGCTCCATAAACGGGATGCAAAGGCTCAGCCCTGCTGAGAACTGGCAGCTCTTGTCAGGTGTGGGACCAACCAGACAGGCGGTAACACCGGGAAAACAGCTGGGATTCTAAGAAAGATTTTCCAGGAAAATGTAACCCTGGGGGGTGAATCTTCTCAGCTTTTTAAATTATAGTCATGTTTAGAATTGAGAAGTAGAACATGGAGAAGAAACTCTGGGCAGCCCACGTGGACACAAGTTCACGAGGACAAGGGCACAGGCCGTGAAGCACAAAGCCACCCTCACACGCGACCTGGGACCGTCAGCACACCCCTGCTGCTGTCTCGTGCTGGGGGACCTCCTATACCACTCCACGACAGCCTCATGATGCAGGGGGGCTGAGGCAAGACTCAAGCTACGTCCCATCCACGGACTTGTAGTGACAGCTGAGGGGGCTTCAAAAAGTTCATGGGAAGACTTGTAATGTCTTTCAATTCTACTTTTCCATGAACTTTCTGAAGCAGCCCCATATTACATATTTGGGGAGATACATTTTCTGGAAAGAACATAGCAGAACTTCAACATCCCCCAAAGTGCACCAAAGTAGTAAAAAAGAAACAGCAAAGACTTCTCAGTGAGTGAGAAAAGTCACTGCAGAGGCAAAAGGGAATTTAAGAAATTCTAAGTAAACCAGAAGAGAGGGTGGGGCGACCTTGCACTGTGAATCCGTCCTAGTTACTCAGAGCACCTTGGGTGGCCCTGCTGCGACACTTGCTGGAGGAGCCCCAGCCTAGACCCTTCTAGCATGTGGAACCACAGAGGTTCTGCTCTGGGAGTATTTCGTTGACGAACAAACACCGCTGGGTTGTCCACACAGTTCTAGTGCGGGGTGTTGGTCCTTAAGAACACAGATGGTGACAATGCTTTCAGGTGTGGAGGTGACATTTGGGCAGATGGATGAAGGCTGATAAGGCGGTTTAGGACAGTTTCTTTGGGGAAAAAAAATATCTATTTTGGCCAGGCTACAAAAGTGGAAAAGTTTCACAGGGAAAAATCCAAAGATAACATGGGTTTATTATTGGGCAGAGCTACTTTGGGTCTCTCCCTTTTGATGCTTAGCCTGTAGCATCCTGAAAATATAAATGCAAGTGCACACCCAGAATCACGACTTCACACACCTTACTAAAGGAAAGAGAAGCTACATGGGGGCCACTTTTGAACATCAAGACATTTGAAAAGGGAATCAGGGTAAAATTTTTCACGGCCACTATCCAACCAATGCACGTTCTTGCTCTCTTTTCCTTTTTTCTTACATTTTCCTTCCTTTTTGTTTTTTTGAAAGAGAATGTGCCAGAGTGTCACAGGGAGCCACTTGTAGATAAATGAGGACTCTTGGAAGCTGCAGATGCCACTTTCTGAAGTGCTACTCCAGGGGCTTGGAACAGCCACACACAGGCGGGCGCACGTGTCCTGTCCCCGTGACGCGCTCACCTGGTGAACCTGGCGCGCTGGGCTTTCTAAGAGGTGACTCCTCGTGAGGAAAAGTCACGTAGCTTCTCAGACCTCCACACCACAGGATGTCATCAAAGGAGAGTCTGCCTCGATGAATCCTCAGTACATACCGAGGAAGGACAGGAGCGAGGAAGANGCTGCATCCTAAGAGGGATGTATCTGGCTCATGTCACTCTGTGTTGCTGGGATTCGACATTCGGTGGGGTGGGGTGGGGGGAGAGAAAGGGGACTTGTGGGAGATCAGGTGGTTCACACGTGACTTGCTCAATTCCCTCAGCAGTCAAGAGGCAGACATTCTCACTGCTACCGACATGGGGACCTGAGAGGACCCCAACGAGGGGCAGGGGAACAACGCCTGCCTGGGCTTGCTCCATAAACGGGATGCAAAGGCTCAGCCCTGCTGAGAACTGGCAGCTCTTGTCAGGTGTGGGACCAACCAGACAGGCGGTAACACCGGGAAAACAGCTGGGATTCTAAGAAAGATTTTCCAGGAAAATGTAACCCTGGGGGGTGAATCTTCTCAGCTTTTTAAATTATAGTCATGTTTAGAATTGAGAAGTAGAACATGGAGAAGAAACTCTGGGCAGCCCACGTGGACACAAGTTCACGAGGACAAGGGCACAGGCCGTGAAGCACAAAGCCACCCTCACACGCGACCTGGGACCGTCAGCACACCCCTGCTGCTGTCTCGTGCTGGGGGACCTCCTATACCACTCCACGACAGCCTCATGATGCAGGGGGGCTGAGGCAAGACTCAAGCTACGTCCCATCCACGGACTTGTAGTGACAGCTGAGGGGGCTTCAAAAAGTTCATGGGAAGACTTGTAATGTCTTTCAATTCTACTTTTCCATGAACTTTCTGAAGCAGCCCCATATTACATATTTGGGGAGATACATTTTCTGGAAAGAACATAGCAGAACTTCAACATCCCCCAAAGTGCACCAAAGTAGTAAAAAAGAAACAGCAAAGACTTCTCAGTGAGTGAGAAAAGTCACTGCAGAGGCAAAAGGGAATTTAAGAAATTCTAAGTAAACCAGAAGAGAGGGTGGGGCGACCTTGCACTGTGAATCCGTCCTAGTTACTCAGAGCACCTTGGGTGGCCCTGCTGCGACACTTGCTGGAGGAGCCCCAGCCTAGACCCTTCTAGCATGTGGAACCACAGAGGTTCTGCTCTGGGAGTATTTCGTTGACGAACAAACACCGCTGGGTTGTCCACACAGTTCTAGTGCGGGGTGTTGGTCCTTAAGAACACAGATGGTGACAATGCTTTCAGGTGTGGAGGTGACATTTGGGCAGATGGATGAAGGCTGATAAGGCGGTTTAGGACAGTTTCTTTGGGGAAAAAAAATATCTATTTTGGCCAGGCTACAAAAGTGGAAAAGTTTCACAGGGAAAAATCCAAAGATAACATGGGTTTATTATTGGGCAGAGCTACTTTGGGTCTCTCCCTTTTGATGCTTAGCCTGTAGCATCCTGAAAATATAAATGCAAGTGCACACCCAGAATCACGACTTCACACACCTTACTAAAGGAAAGAGAAGCTACATGGGGGCCACTTTTGAACATCAAGACATTTGAAAAGGGAATCAGGGTAAAATTTTTCACGGCCACTATCCAACCAATGCACGTTCTTGCTCTCTTTTCCTTTTTTCTTACATTTTCCTTCCTTTTTGTTTTTTTGAAAGAGAATGTGCCAGAGTGTCACAGGGAGCCACTTGTAGATAAATGAGGACTCTTGGAAGCTGCAGATGCCACTTTCTGAAGTGCTACTCCAGGGGCTTGGAACAGCCACACACAGGCGGGCGCACGTGTCCTGTCCCCGTGACGCGCTCACCTGGTGAACCTGGCGCGCTGGGCTTTCTAAGAGGTGACTCCTCGTGAGGAAAAGTCACGTAGCTTCTCAGACCTCCACACCACAGGATGTCATCAAAGGAGAGTCTGCCTTGATGAATCCTCAGTACATACCGAGGAAGGACAGGAGCGAGGAAGAGAAAGGGAAAGAGGGAAAGAAGGAAAAAGAAGGAAAGAAGGAAAGGAAGAGCGTGAGCACACGAAGACAGCGGGCACAGGCAAAGCAGGAGAGAAGGGGAGGCACAGCAAGGACAGCCTGCAGAGCAGCTCCTCGACGCCGACCTGCTGGCCCCGACGCACGGATGCGACGCGGCAGGGCGTGCCCCTGCAGAAGGCACTCTACGGCTTTAGCTGTGCCACTAATTTAGTGGCAGCTGTGACTTATCTTTCGTACGACTAAGGGTTTAGACACATTTTCACGTTCCTTGTGCTTTGTTCCCAACTTCAGAGGTAACTTCATTCATTTATTCCCTCACTGTTTCCAGGATTCTTCTTTGGGGGCTGGTGGTTATGGCGACTGGCACAAAATCTTTGTTCATGTTACATCAGACACTAAAGCTTGAGGAAGGCTCCTATCCCCACCACAGCGGGATCACCGGCTGCTCAGGCCTCTGTTGTGAATTAGTGAAATAAGATCCAAATACATCACTGGTGGGTTCTTACAGGACAGATGTGAAGACTAAGAAAAAAGTAAACACATTGACAAAAGAATACATAGAAACCTAGTCCGTGACTCGTCCATTTCTCTTCCTGGTCACAATCCTTAGAAGCTTTCATTCAATGGAGAGAGTCACGCAGTGCGAACAAGCTGTGTGTGAGCACAGCAGTTTAATTCTGTTTTTTTTTTTTTTTTCGTGTCTGGCAACGGATCGCAACCCTCAGTGTCGCGCCCGTACCGGACCGGGACCGGCAACGGGATCACAACCCTCAGCACTGCACCCGCACCTCGCTCAGCCAGTGAGCGGGAACCGGTCTGCATGTGGGATCCGAACCCTCGGGTGGGAGCGCCGCCGCACTCCCAGCACAGCAGTTTAAAAGGGTGATACCAAGAGTAGTTCCCTTCAAGGACCCGGCCATCTCATTGAGCGGGAACCGGTCTGCATGTGGGATCCGAACCCTCGGCGGGAGCGCCACCACACTCCCAGCACAGCAGTTTAAAAGGGTGACACCAAGAGTAGTTCCCTTCAAGGACCCGGCCATCCCACGGCTTACGTACACACCACGTCGTGAGAGAGAAAGAAGGGGAAGCCATGCTCCTTTCAGCTTTCTCTGGAATCAATTCACGAAACTTCACTGACATCTTGAGACGGCACAACCCTGGACCTTCAGGTGAGGAAGACCACGCCACGGCAGGTCGCCAGCTGCCTCATCTGCCGCACTGACTGCCTTCAGGACTCCTACGAGCTTCAGGCAGCCCACGGGCGACGGCAGCGATTCACTCCAAGCACAGGATGGACTGCAGCTGTGTCCCCTCCCAGCACCTCTCTGTGCTCATGACTCACACGAGCTGGCTCTCTGTTCAGAAAAGTACCTCGATGGCCTCTGATGTGAGAGGGCAGAGTAAGGAGCAAGCCAACACGCCCCGCTCAGGAGTTCTGAGTTCACAGGGGCAGCCTGAGAGGGGACTAAGGGACCCACAAGAAAGAGAAGAGGGGACAGGAGAGACAGTGGAAGCCACCAAAGGAAAGGGAGATGGGAAGCAAGGGTCCGCTGAGAAACACCCCCAAAGCAGAAAACGGCCAGTACCTTCTCATCAGGGCCACCTGCCGTTTGGTTTTCAGTACCTGTCTGGCCTGGGCTACACGCAGCCTCACTGTCACATGTCAATCAAATTTGCTCTACACTCGCCTAGGGTTGGCACTGCTTTGGGGCAAGCAAAAGAAGGGTGGCATGTTTGGGTTGAGGTGGCCAGCATGGGAGGGGATGACCACAGAGACTTGAGAGGGGACAGCCAAGAAGCCAGCTGCAGCATGGAGGAACCCAGGACTCCACGGGGTAGCCCTGGTGCCACTTTAGCTATAAAGGAAAAGGCAACTCTATGAGGCAACAGGCATCTGGACAACGGGACTTGAAAGGAAGGAGGGAATCCTAGAACTTTTTCTTTTCTTTGGAGGGAGTGTCAGGATTAGAGCTTAAGGAAGCATCCACCCGGCGACAGAGAGCCCCGAAGCTGACGCGCCACTTCGTTTCATGGCAGTGGTGCCATAAGTGCCCCAGTGGAGGAGAAGCAGAGGAGCGATGCTGAATGTCAGTGCTTTCATGACTGGGAACTCACCTGGAGAGAGAATGCCCGCAGAGCAGGAATCGGGATCAAGGCGGCCATGAAGAAGGCTGTGACGTTGCTGATGGAAGTGAGGGCGACGCTGGCTCCCGTGCGCTTGAGGCATTCTCCAGTCCTGTCCTGAGGATGAGAAACCACAGCACTGACAGCTGCACTGGGCAGGGTCTCTTTGGAGCACAGACCACGTGAGCAATTCAGACATGTGGTAAAATAACCCAAAAGTGTTTATAATGTTGGCATCAGAGGACAGGAAAGAGGTCTCACTGCCTCCCCCCACCAGCAGCAGCATTATTCAGTGCTGTCTACACGTCACGTGTTCTTCCTGGTTATTACCATCCAAAGCAGAAAGCCGCAAGATAATGATCTAAGTACATTTTTAATATGATTTTAAAGGGGCAGGAGGCAAAGTGACAGAAAACCTCAGAGAAGGAAATGTGGCCTTAGGAAAAGTTACAGAAATAGGGTGTAAAGTGTCGCACTAAAATAAACTCCCATATCTCTAGAGGTACTCCCAATGGAGCCCTTGGGGCTTCTCATAGCTAATATGTGTCCTGAGAGTTTTCCAGCTTGATTTGTTTATCTAGAGCCAAAAGACAAGTCATCTGACTTGGGACTGAAATAGTTATTGGGACAGACTGAGAAAAATTAAAGGACAAACACTCAGGAACAGAGGAGACTCTGGGTGTCCCCAAAGCTTTCTTCTTTTGTTTTTCTATTACCTCAAAAGGGATTCTTTTATTCTGTCCGGTTTCACTAAATGCATGTGCCAGAAGGAAAACGTCATCCACGCCAACTCCAAGAGCAAGAAATGGCAAAACCTGCAGTGACAACAGGACAGCGGTGTTAGACACGTGAGGTCCAGTTTGATGACTCTAAAGCGATTTCAAACACTGCCACCAGGGCCCCTCCAGCTACCCCCAGGGAGCTCGTGTTGGCTCATGGTGAAGAGTGTCCTCGTGTCAGTTTATATCCCCAAAGTCTCCAGCTTCACCTCATAGTAAACCTTGTACGTTGCTATTGCTGAGGTCCATGTACAATAACTTTTTAAAGTTAATAATGAGAAGGAATCTACTTCATCTAAAGCAGCGGTTCTCGGTGTGCTCCCTGCACCACCGGGAACTGGTTAGAGTCACAAGTTCTTGGCCCCACTCCAGACCCACTGAGTTAGAAACTCCAGGGGTGGGCCCAGCAAGCCCTCTGGGGATTCTAATTCCCACTAGAGTTTGAAAAGCATGGCTCTAGTAAGTGATATAAATTCCTGTAAGCCCATGAGACTCTCTGCCCACTGCCCAGGTGGTCTGTTTAGAGACAGCGCTCCCCAGACAAGTGGCATCCTATCGGAAAAGGCTGGAAGACCCTTCGGGTGAGACGGACACACAGAAGGCTGGCTGGGCCAAGCCTGTGGTCTGTTTAGAGACAGCGCTCCCCAGACAAGTGGCATCCTATCGGAAAAGGCTGGAAGACACTTCGGGTGAGACGGACACACAGAAGGCTGGCTGGGCCAAGCCTGGGTAGGGGTGTTTGTCAACACAGTAAATGAATGGCTCCTTTAGTACCTGAGTTGTTGCAGCGTTAAAGGAAATCCCGATCAATGAGCACAGGCCCAATCCTGCAGCCACTGACAGTGCAACCAACAGGACGCCAGCCAGCCCCACGGCACCCTGGGACTTGGAACAGTCCCAGCGCAGCATGGTTAAACAGGCATAGGCAAGCTGCAAGCAGAACAACGGGGGGCGAAGGAATGAGGGGGGTGGGGGGAGGAGGAAGGGCACAGAACAAAAGCCGAACATTAGAATGTGTAATGATTCTAATGTTTTCCCCCACCTATTACCCCAAATCAAAAGGTAGAACTTATTAAATCCAACAACAGCAAAACTTTACATTACAGACGTCACACAGAATGATGTGAGTCAAAGATGGGCAAACTGCAAATGGGAAAAAAAATGCTTTACATGACCCCTTTTTAAACTGTGATAAAGCTGAGCTCTCCCTGTCTCGGGTGCATGTGTATGTTAAGAGCAGTTAAAAAGCAGGAGCGGTCATGGAAAGGTAAAAACTAAAAACCAAACCCAACCAAACCCAACCCCCAGGAGCAGGCAATCGGTATTGTTACCATCAGTAGGTAGCCGCTGGCCACTCGGATGACGCTGACATCAGAGAAGGATTTTAGGATGTCATCTAGGGTCGTGGTGGTGAAGGACAGCACCTTCTGAGAGGAGTTCTGTGCGACGCTCTGATGGACCACCTGCGGTCACAACACAAGGCTAAACTCCCAAATGGAATTAAAGCCTCCACAGGCTTTAACAGCACAGACCTCAGGTGACACACCCCACCGCCACTGTTTCTCTCATGCATTAGAAAAAGTTCTACATGATTTAGGTGGAGTGGAGGGGGGTCGAACTTGGACTAACATCAAACGACCCTGGGTCTAGGACAAGGAGGGCTACTGCTCACAATGAGAACGTGCCGTGGTGAGCCAGTGTCACCGGGTTCCCTCCAAGCATGTCATTCACTCCCTGCCTAAGGCTGCCATCCTGCCTCCGTAACTCTATAACTGATTTGTGGTCCCATCGGCTCCCCTAATCCAAAACAACTCATTCTTAGGGACACTCCTCCCCCTTCGTCTGCTGGCCACTTTCAAAAGGTCACATGCAGCTCAGTAGAGGTCACTGCTTGGGAAACAAAGGCCAGCTCCGGTCACATGACCTAAGCAAGGGGCCTGCAGCTGTGAACAGATTCTATGCCTTGCTAATGTTTTCCAGACACCTTTTCTTGCTAACCAGAAAATTTTAGAACAGCTCCAGAGTTCACAGTTGGTTGCTAAAAACACGTCTACGGGAACCCCCGTCAGAATTTTTGTCTCTTAGATATTATCCTAAGGTTTTCAATATCAAGAATAAGAAATAATGTTTCCATCCCATCAAGTTCCCAGAATTATAGCTTGTTTTAAAAATAAACCTAGTGGAAAAAATGTTTTAAATAATGGTGCAAATGAAGAACTGCGCGACAAGTGGGCCTGGGCCCAGATTCAAAGGCTTCCCAGAATTATAGCTTGTTTTAAAAATAAACCTAGTGGAAAAAATGTTTTAAATAATGGTACAAATGAAGAACTGCGCGACAAGTGGGCCTGGGCCCAGATTCAAAGGTGGCTTACCTCCACGTAGGTCCTCTGCCAGGCCTCCAGGATGGCCGCAGCCTTGTCCTCGTTCCAGTTGATATGAGAGACGTACTCGTAGCCCTTGAAGTGCTCGTACATCTGCTTGGGAGTCATCAACTGGAACATGGTCTGCAAGGCGTGGGCACTGGGGCGGGTGGGGGCATGACATCAGCATCCCCAGGAAGCCCAGATGAGCGCCCCCACCTCACGGGAGGCAACTCTCTCCTTCTAGGTGAGCACGTGTTTCCATTCAAACGGGACCAGGATGGTTATTTTATTTAAGAGATTGATGTACCCTATTAAAGGTGTAACCTTACAAACCTTTTACAGATATACCCAAAATTAAATTAATAGGCAATTTCCTTTCTCAGTTTCTACTCCATGAGACAGGAAGGGGAGAGGAGTAGATAGCTTGGCCAGATATATATACTGGGCTCAGCAGTGCACACCTGTTGTTCAGAAATCCCAGACGACAGCTTTCCCAAGGGAGAAATCTCAGACAAAACGCCTGACACCTGACTGACCATAGTGCACAAAGGATAAGTCTTGCTCAGCCTTTAGTTCTTAACAATATGTGACGCTGTGCGGCCCACATCATTTAATGTCATACGCTATGACCAATGTCTCCTGCCCACTTTACACTTGCCCCCATTTTCTACATATAATGAGCGGGTCTCCTAAAACCCTAAAGTCAATAATTACAGTCTTGATAAAAACTACAAATCCATTGTTGAAAAATTTCCCACAGGGTGCTTTTACAAGCTGGTTTGGTCTGCTAACATTCCCTAATATTCGATTATGCCAGACGGCTAGCTAGAACAGTTAAGTACTAATACAAATACCACTGCAGATGTCAGAAGGGAAGTGGTTTTTGAGGAAAGGAGGAAAAATGGATGGCTGGGATCTCACTCCGTGCATCGCATTACCTGACAAGTTTTCCAGTGCTGTTCTTGACGGTGCCACCCACCACCAACTCCTCCTGCCAGTGCATGTACTTTCTGGATAGCCCATGACAGCCACCATTCAACACGAGGGCCACATCAAGAGGCTGGAGTAAAAAGACAGCCACACAATTATGGGACTTAGTAGGCAGGTCACATGCCTTGTTAAAATCCAGTGCATTAAGGGCTTGTTTGTCCAGAGAGAACGTCAATAACGAGGCTAATGAGAGGCGTATGGCAAATCTTATGGCAAAATTCAGCTCTGTCAACAAACGTAGTTCTATAGACAAAAAGGGTCATGGAGAATGAAATCTCAAAAATGAAAATCATAAGGAGACCTATACAAGGAAACAAAAAAAATGTTGCTCTCTGCCCCTTCCCACAACTATGGATGACCGTACTCACTTTGGTTGAATTTTTGTTGGGGGCTGTGGCTGGGCAGTCTGGATCGGCCGGATTGAGGCAGGGACGGTCCATGTAACCATGACCAACTTCAGCCTTATTCAGCATTTCCTCCCAGCTGTCCACTTGATAGTTTATTTTCTTTAACTCTTCTAGGAATTCCAAAGGGTCAAAGTTTGTCCACCGCAAAGGAGGTTTACCTCTGCAAAATAAATCAGGAGATGAGACCATGAAAAGAGGTTTCCAAACTCTTAGTACAGTAGTAAGTCTGCATATATTGCATCTGTGCTACAAGAGGCTTATTGGTAATTCTGCAATTCTGGGACCCTGGCATTAAAGAAATAAATGTTTCTTTCCAGTATAGCTGTATGCAAACTTAAGTCAGTATGGCAAGCAGAGGGCTTATAAACTAACAAAGGCGTTAAAGAATACTTAATTGCCAATAGATTGTACTTAACATCTAAAAATGAAATTAGCCAACAGGTGCTTCTAAGCAGAAGACTAACCAAAATTTTAAAAAAAAGAGGGGGGATCACAATGTCAAATTAATACTTGCCAGCCTAACAAATGCCTTGTCAATGTCATCAATCACAATATTTGATCTCTGCTACCTTTCACAATCCCATGCTTATGAGCTCTCTCTGACAGCCTGGTTATCAAGCCAGCAAGCCCCCTGCAGCCCCTGCCATCCCCACCATCACAGCCACTTCCCCCACACTCAGTTTTGAATTTGTACTGTTGACAGACCAGAAAGGCTTTTGGCTGCCTGTTATGTGGTTCAAACCACACTGTAGCTGCTTAACCAGGCTGAAGTCATTATTCAGAATATCCCAACCAGAAAACACAAAACCCCTTATTTCCCATCTAAAACTGTACCCTGAAGGTCAGGGGATGGCCGCTGCAAATTGCTTTTGCAGATCTGTGCAAGCCAGGAGAGAAACAATAACCCAAGCACTAACTCTTGCATAATTAAACTGAAAATGCCTACACTGATTAACAATTATTCTTTAAATGATGCAGTATATATAATATCCAACTGCTAAACTGTGAAGCATCCCCTACCACGGCCTTCAAAGGCAGCGGATTTCCCTCTTAAATGCCATTAACGTGATCCAAAGAAAGGCTTGCATTTTACTTCACAGGAAGATCATCAACTTCAACTCAAAATATTTAGTTCTGACATGTACCCACTATTAAATTCTCTCCTTAAAAAATAAGTTAAATGCATAAGTGCCTAGTGTGCAAAACTGCAAACATTTTAGAGTTAAAAATCACACATACTCTGCAACAATTTGCATTTTATTTGCATATAAATAGGCTGGTAAAAGTGAATGAAATTTAATGATGCCTACTGAACTTTTTTCTGAAAAGAGGAAAAACATTCTGCTGGAATCCCATCTCTCCCTATTATTGACTCAAAAAATGCACATGGAATTTCAATGTTTTCATTTCTTGTTCAAAAGTAGAATAGAATAAACAATGATAAGCAACATTAGAAACACTGAGTCCTAGAGTTTGGAAGTCACAGATATTAGAAAACACTATCACACACTTACAGGAGGTAGGCTGTCCCAGACTGTAACTTTGCCCCTTCCCAGAAGCAGTCCAAAGGTGTAATAATTAAGCAAGGGTAAAGATATTCTATTATCTGTCAAAATTAAAAAAGAAGAGGTTATGCATTAGGCTGAAACATACCACTGGGGTGTATTTGAGAATTTTTGAGAAATTTTTGCAAACGACCAAGAAAATATACCTGATCCATGTAACCTGTTTCTGTGATGAGCTCTCCTGATTTGTAACATAAATGTTCCAATTTCCACTGCCTATTAAAAATTAAAAACAGATATAAAAATTTCTTGTTATAATAAAGGATGTTAGTGCAAAATCAGAATGACAGAACATCAGAACAAACCACAACTTCGATCACTTTTAAGCATCTGTCAAAACGAGCAGAGCTTTTGCCAAGTAGAGAACCAGCAAGCTTGCTTTAATGAATAGATAATACTCAATTGTAATTAACATGTGGGGTGTTTATGTAAATGAATGTTACCAAAGTACTTGAAAAGTCTTGTTTTCCTAAGTGTTCTCCCAATAATCTTGTTTACACCATTAATCTGCTTTTCTACATACATTAAACAACTCCAGGGCAGCACAGCTGAATTATCACAAATTCAAAGTAGGTGGGGACTAAATTAGTCAGGTTTATAATGTATTGACATATATGCAGGTGGGGAAATATTACTTCTTACTGGCAGATAATGTCCTTATTAATAGGTAGTGTTCAAAATGAACTCTTCTGCTCTTAACCATGCATGTTGTAAAAAACATTTGCCAAGCAGATCAAATTCCCACTTTACAGTCTCTTTTATTCTTGTCTTACAGAAATGCTACATTTAATATACATGATAAATGTATATTAAAATGATGTATTTAATAAATATACAGGTCAAGATTCAGAGTTTTGTTATTTCTAGAAGAGTGCTATATATAAGACCATGCCTTTCCAAGTGTGTAGAGAGATAAGCCTAACTCGAAAAAAAGGAAATCTGGAAGGGGTGGGGATAGGAAATCCAAGAGAAGGAAAAAAAAAATCAAAATAAAAAACTCTCCCCAAATTGCTCCTATGGGAGGCCTGTCTTCACCCAAAGGAGCTTTCTGGACTTTACAGTCTTCCCTGTGCTCCCCCCAGAACCTTCCCTTCCATCTTTCAGCCCCCTGCTGAAATGCCACCCTTCCACTGGGCTTTCTCTGACCAGTGCTGATGAAAACCACCCCTTTCTCTTGAACTCTAGAGCACCAGCTGGACAGGGCTCCTGCTTGGCACTTGGAGCACCTGGAGCAGAGACTGCTAGCGCTGGGCTTCGTACATGCCTCCTAATTGACGTCATTCCTTTCCCTGAGAGCAGAACTTAAATACCCATCCATCCCCCCACCCAACCATGTATCTATCTTTCTTTTATTTATTTATTTATTTATTTATTATTATTTTATTTTTTTTTCCTTTTTGTCTTTTTTACTGACCGGTAATGGGATCGCAACCCTCAGTGTCGTGCCAGTACTGGGGACCGGCAACGGGATCGCAACCCTCGGTGTTGCGCCCGCACCACGTTCAGCCAGTGAGCGGGAACCGGTCTCCACATGGGATCCGAACCCTCGGCGGGAGCGCCGCTACGCTCCCAAGCGGCGCACTCTCCAGTGCGCCACCGGGCCGGCCCTCTATCTTTTAATTCTACATGGCATCAATATGGAATAACCAGCATTAAGTAGGTTCTCAATTATCATCACTTGATCAACTGCTTGAGAAGGGCACAGTTGCACACTAGAAAAACCACTGGGCTTGGAGCCAGAATAAAAGGGTTTAAAGCCTGGCTCTATCATTTAATAACTTTATGAACTTGGACAAATGCTTTATAATCAGTCTAATTCCCAGTTTTCTCATCTAAAAAATACGATGGGTTGAACTATGTGTTCATTTCTCAGGGGGCCATCTCAGCTTAAGAAGAGTGTGATTTCGCTGTACACATCCTCACATCTTCTGAAGTGTGTGACAAGTCCCTCAAAGCAGGGCCCACCGTGTAGGGACATGTCAGCATGCTTACAGTGGCCCTGGACACTGCCCCCAGTTCCCCACAGGGCCTCCACTAGCAGACTCAGTGGAACTGGCCGGGAGAGGCTTCCTCAAGCGCTCGTCACAGACTGGAGGGCGCGACTACCTGACGCAAGTGCTGAAACACCTCCTCGCACCTCCTGAAGCCCCTTCGCACATATACCTGATCTCGATAGCACACACGATCATAAACCTAGTCTACAGACGTGGAGACAAGAGTATGCCGAGGACACGGGACTTGTCACGGGTTGTGCTGCTCCCTAGGGTCCAGTCTCAAGCTAGAATGGGTCTCAGAGTCAGTGCAGGTTAGTCCACAGGCAGCAGAGGTTAGAGCAGAAACGAGTACAAATCCTAATTCTGTCCTCTGCACTGGTTCTCCTGGCTCCCGAGCAGGTCCACACTGCCACTTCCTCACCTCTGCTGTGAAAACTGAACCGTGCTGTCCCGACTCCTCAGTTAAGAGGCTAGAAAGCCTAGCAAAGGGGATGGATTAGGTGATGCCAACTTAGTGGTCCCCTGAAAATGGGGTTTAAGTGATGGCAATCTCAACAGGCAGTTAACAGACTCTGAACACCCACCCTGTTCTAAAGGCTGGGGTACGAGGGGACGGGATGAGGTCCCTGCCCTGAAGTAACTGAGTTTAGACACATTAAAAAAAGAAAAAGAAAAAGAAAAAAAGACAAGACTGTTAGTATTGTTCCAGAAGTCTCCCTAATCTTTTACTCTACCCACAGCACTGTTAAATTAGCTGTGATGCTAAAGGCTGACTTTTTAAAAACTTGTACGTGGATCCACCATATGTAGCCTGTCAGCAAGAATTCCCACGGTGGCTCAACCCGTTTGCTTTGTGACACACACCAACCATGAATACAAAGTAACCAGAAATAACTGCTTCCTTTCTTCTATCTTTTTCTATTCTTTTCTCTGCATTGTTTGTAAGTTAAATAAAAGCAACTCAAAATGTAACTGCTCCAAAAATGTCTTAAGCAACAAAGATAACTACCATGTTAACAAAATATTTAATTAAAAAAAAATCTGAAGCAATGAAACAAAACATCTTATAGCCTGGGTACATAGCCACCCAAGTGGAGCAGGATCAGTGTCACTGGGGATAGTGCCAAAATACTTATTGAAAACACATTATAAAGTAATGTACTTGCTTTGTTACCAAACTCTAGAAACAAATCAAGATGAAAAAAAAAATCATCGCAGGTGCATTTTCGGGATACCCTTATTTACTAAAATAAAGGGGGGCTGAAGCAGCAGCCTCTCCCCAGCGCCTCACCTGCTGCACACGTCCAGGCGGACTCGGCTGGCCTTACCTGTTGTACATGTACACGTGGACTCGGCTGGCCTGGAGCGCCGAGTCCAGGTGTTGGAGGAGCGCTTCTGTGGTCAGGACATTAGCACCTTCTTCTTTCGGGGTCTGTATCATGAGCTGAGGATTAAACATAGCCTCTTCTCCAATCTTCTGGCGAGTATAATTTAATTCACGACTTACTCGTCCACCAACTGACAAACATGTACAGGTTTCAATTAGAACAGCAAAACCACTGCAAATGAACGTTCTATCTGTTACCTCACTCACAGACATGGGATACACCGTAAACTCAGCTCAGGCAAATGGCTGATGTTTGAGGAGTAACATTTACTTTATTATTAACGGCAATGTTAACTTCACCAATCTTAACATATAGAAAATATTCACTGAGCCTGATAATGGCTGTGTGCTTCGTGCACATTCTAAGAGGGGTAGGGAAAGGAAAACCTGAGACACCTTTTCCTTGCAGACCAGACCAAATAACCCTGTTACAATTTCTTTCACTTGTATAAACAATGTGCCCTGCAGCACATTTCAAGATAAATGGCTTCAATTTACACTCTTCTCCTAAGTAATCTGGCAAGGGTAACAAGGAAATGATCCTCCTCCATGGAGAAAGAAACAAGGAAAGGTGGCAAGACTGTGTTCAGCACAAAACTTGCCAGGAGAAGATAAATAATGTGATTCAAGTCAGATGCACATGGGGACCCACTTGAGAGGGACAAATGGATCAGGAGCCCAGTTCTATCAGGCTCAGCTGGTCAGCGTCCAGAAACCACAGGTGCCAGGTTCTGAGTCACCTGGGGGCGGGCGACCTGTGTTTGGAAGCTCCCCAGGTGATCCTGAACCTGCTGTGGAGGCTGGGAAGCCCCAGCTGGCTGGCTGTGCTTGTGCAACAGGTGGCCAAGCCGTGGACACCAGTCCTGCGAACTGCTTTTTTCTCTTCCTCTCCCTTTCACATCCTCAGGCTCAAGCTTCTATTCAAATACAGTTCTGGACTAAGCCAAGCTCAGAATGCTGCACCTGCGCTAGGAGGTACCTCAGGAAGTTACAGAAAGAGGGTCTTAGTGCCCCTTCCCCCCACCCACACGCTCCAGGGCAAAGACACTGAGTCTGAATAGCTCCTAAAGTCACTGATAGTGAATGTTTACTGAAAAGCAGGCCTTCAGCTATAGTTTAGAAAGAGCTCAGTGATCGTAGCTTTCCCACGACGAGGAATCCTTTTTCTTCAAGTTTAGTATTCAAGGACATAAACATTTGGTTTGGGCAAGTAAATAAGTGCTGGGAACAGGGGATTGTTTAGTTCTCTTGGCATATTTTATAAACAGGGGGCAGGCTAAAAAGCAAATAATGCCCTCATTAGGAAAACTAGTGCAGATTCACGGACTGGCAGGGGTCTGCGCAGGTTCACGCCTACGCCAAGGCCACCGCAGGGCTGAGAGGTGAGGTTTCTTTTGCGCACTGTGTGTGGGGTGGGGGACAGCTGTATTGGGTGGTTGATAAAAAACATGAAGACTCCTGGGTGCAGAAAACTTTGACAAACGCCACGGGGAATTGCCGAGGCCAAGTGATCAATCTGAAGTTAGAGGAAGACCACAGGAAACACTGGGAAACGACTTGCATCAGAGGATGCATATGCAGAAAACCGCCGGCCTTCCTGAGGCCCCACCGCAGCCTCCGAAGGCAGGGTCTTGCCATGCTGGCAGTCACAGTGCATCATATGATGTGGACTTTTGATCAGTTAACTAGTGGACTGTTTGATTCAATCCACATCCTCTACAGGTGGAGAAGCTGTTAGAGACTAAAAATCCAATTACTAATCCAGGTCACTTCTGAAAAGCTACAGCTGCACACCAAGGAGCTCGAGGCAGCCTTGCTCAATCCCTTCCTTTTTTCTGGCGACATCACATCTAATGCCCCAAACCTAGAAATCATTACTATTTCCACCTGCCTCCTCAAATACAGGCATAGCACATGACATTTCACTCTGCTTACAAAGTTACACTTCCTTTTACCATTAATGGAACTTAAAACTTCAGGCAACTTAAAATCACGATGGTAAAAACAAACAAGAAAGCACCCCCACCCGCTCAGCATAGGGACCTAGGCTGTGCCACACCCTGCTTCTTCCAGCGAGAAACACTCCTCCGCAGGATGCCACCCCCAGGCCTTCGCAGAGCAGCTGCCTGTCACAGAAATAGAGATGCTGATGCCACATGGAGTGGTGGGAAAGGGGGAAGGTACTCCAAACAGGATGGCCAGGGAAGACGCCAGGGAGGTCACATTTACGGTGACTTTGAAGAGCTGTGGGAACAGTGTTCTGGGTAGAATCGCAACTCCGAAACCCTCATGTTTAGCTTGCTGCAGGGAGAGAAAGGAGGCAAGTGTGGCCAGAGCCTGGTGAGACCATAATTATGTCATTCAGTTGCCTGCACTGGTAGACTTAGCTCCTTCTCAGGTATACTTGTGTCATAAACTGCACGACATTCATATGTTCTTACATCAGTATTCGCCCAAGGAGCTCTGGAGCAAGCTGCCAGAAACAGAAACCCCTCTGGACAGGGCAATTTTACGGACTTGCCTGACTTTTGCTACCCCAGAGAGTGCCTGTCCTAGATCACTGCTGACTGACAGCCTGGCGCTGTTCACTACCTTGCTGCCCACCCTCCTCACCGTCCAGCAGCACGGAGCTCTGCGCCCAGGAAGTCCCACAGAACCCACTTCAGATGACTGAGATTACAGTCGTGGTCTGGGGAAAAAGGTTTTCTTCCCTTCTCTTTTCCATTTTCAAGGTCAGAGTCCTTACGTATTTAAAAAATAATCTAATGCTCATGAACTACTCAGAGGAAAACTATTGAACAGAATGAACCATAAAACCGATATCTGTCATGCAGATGCAGGTGCAGGGAGCCAAGTTAACAAGACATTACTGCCGTGTGTGGTCTAGGGACAACGTATACCTGCTTCCCCTTTTGGGGGGTTTATTGCTGTTTCTTGATTTTTCTTCAATGAACATGTATAATTAAAGACATCAAGAAGATAAAAAAGAAAAAAGGGAAAAAGAGATGTGAAAACTACTTGGTAGGGATCTGATTTAAAAACTAGCTCCCTGCAAAAATAATATGCATCTCCATCATACCCTTTAGTTCTCTTATTTTTTCCTCCCTCTTCATTCCCCCAACACAACAATTTTAACAATAAAACAACAACCAGCCTCTTTGAACATGACTCAGGAAACATGGCATCTAAGGATCCTGAGAAACAAAACAGCCTTTCATGGTGGTGTGGTGCTTTCCATCTGCACAGCCTTCAACACTCATTATTTACTTATTTAGAAATATTCTGGTTGCTGCTGCTCCTCCACTGAGGTGGGGCCAGCTGTACTGGACAGACAGCAACAATGGGGATCAGAGGACCCAGGTTCTCAGCACTGCCACTTGTGGCAGAGAGGTTTGGGACAAGTCTCAGGATAGTTGAACCTCAAGAACTGTCTCTGTAAAATGGGGGTAAAATACTACCACTAACCTCACAGGATGATGTGGGGATTAATTGACAATGTATGTGAAACCTCCCGAACCCTTACCCAGAAGCTGAGCAGGTGTTCTTATCGCAGAGCTCACGTCATTGCCCTCACTTTACAGAAAAGGAAACACAGCTGCAGAGCTGGTGTGACGTGCCATCCAGCTAATAAGAAGCAAAACTGACCCCTTAACCCCGAGTCCAACTGTGAACCTGGGTACAGCAGAAAAGAGGTGGCCTAGGAGCAACAAATTCCCAATGTCGGACTATATATATTAAGCTCACAGCTAGAACTTTTAGAATGCATGAAAGTATAACACAAGACAAATACTTGGTATATTTATTTAAAGGACAGTGACATCACCTTAGAGATTCTTCTCTGCCACCAAGGAGATGCAGTTTTTTCCAACAGGGCCCCGTGGGCCTGCAGTGGACAGGCCCCATTTCCTTCTGGTCTCCAGAGGGGCTTGTCTTAGAGAGGCAGAGAGATAGGGCATAGAGAACAAGCATACCTCAGTGTCTTTACCTGCAAATTCTGCCATCTCACTCTCCAAAAATCAGAGACTTAAACCAATTCTTTGAAAGAGGCAGGGTACAGATCATCACTTCTGCAAAGAACTTCTTGAGCCTTTCCTCCCCAAATCAAGCCAAGCATGGTTTTCCAAAGAGAAGAAGGGTCAGCACGGGTAGGAAACCACTCGACCCAGGGGCCCATACCTCCGGGCCAGTGCTACTCCAATCCATGGCACTCAGGAGATGTTCTCCAGCTGTATCATTCCTTAGCACAGCCTTCTGCAAAGAACTTGAAATGTCTGTGGCATTCATGCAAAAAACCTTTTAGCAAAAGTTTACTGTGACTCACATAAAGATGATCTGCATGACCAACCAAAGTTTTAGGAAATTCGAAGTCACTTAAGAGAGGTACTGTCCCCTGTCCGCTCACCTCTGTATGTGGGGAGCAGAGGCACACCAGAGGCACTGGTACATGCTCTAAGTATGCTGAATGAATAAATGAAGGAAGGTCTCAATACAGAGCCTGGGGAACAGGCAGTCATCTGTACAAGATATTAATTTCCTCCCAAGTCTTTAAAAAGTCAGTCAAAACAAATGATCCTTTCAGCCTGAAAAGTACCCACTCGGAGCCCAATTAGGGAAGTAGGGTCTGTGGATATGCAAGCATGTCATTGGCATTGGACTGATCCCATGAATTATCTAACGGCCACTAGAGAAATTTTCCTTCCTTGAGTGGCTTCAGGTCTTTCCTTCAGTGTTGCAATTAGTTATTGTGAGGGCAAAAAAGTACAAATCTCTAAAGGGTGTAACTGCAAAATTATTAGCATTGGCTCATTCTCTAAATTAAAAAATTTTTTAAAAAATGGAAGATTCAGCAACTTGGACGACTGGCTGAAAACTCATGGGCTGTGAGTTTTAGTCACTCTTCCACTCAACTTTTATTCATGAAGAGCCAACTGCTGCTTAAGCTTCTGGGCTGTTCTTGTGAGATTGTGCCCTTGGGTGTTGCCATGGGCAAATGCAAGAATCAGATAGCTCAAAGAGACTTTCCCTGCATGAAGTGATCCCAGTGAGATGACAACCACAAACACAGGACAGGGACACAGGTACCCCCCTGCGCCGAGCCACACGAGGGAGGGTGTGGGCTGGGCGCAG